GAGGTATGACTAGTTATGGAAACATGGAGGACTTTGTGACCCGACAGATTTAACATCCGTCTGTCACCATTTACCACCCAAGTAGTCTTTCGCCGGCGGGGATCGAACCCTCAACCTAATTCCATGCTCAACTAGCCGCAAAGCATATACTTGTTTGTCTTTCAGAAAGAGAGTAGCAAGTAGTTGAAGAATATTTAATAATGCTACTTCTGTTAATTATAATTTTTTTTTATTAAATATTATATTTATATTGAATTATATATTTCTTTATTTTAATTTCTCAAATTTCTTTTTTTTAAAAATCTTTTTTGCAATTTTTCTGTTTTCGCAAAATTTTGATGGAATTTTTAAATGTTTATTTTACAGAGTGTTGGCACTGATAAGGGCAGTATACCTGATCTAACCAAGGTAAGTCGTAATGCTATGCTTTAAATCAATTGAACTGTAAAATGTTCCTAAAATGAAATTTAAATAGCAAAATCCGCTTTAAACACATGAGCAGTAATGCTTTCTAAATTGCAACATTTCACTATAAGTTTTCTTCGCTTTTTTCTTATTTTATTTGAATTGTCGTTCAACAGCCGACCCAATTTTGAGTTTAAGACTACCTATGTTAAACTCCTTATCCTTGTAATTTTGAACCCAATCCAGAAGACAAATGAATTCCTAGATCAGTTATTTTGATGGAACTAACCCGCATTTGTGTTACATGGAGAGGAAGCCACAGAAACCTCCCATGGTTAGCCTAACGGCAAGGGGACTTTAACCTATCTACCATCCAGGATATTTAACGTCATCGGTGTGTTTGGCATGAGCCCAAATTCAGAATTCCAACCATCGCTATGTGGGATTCGTACCCAGCTAACCTCTTTGGGAAACAAGCGCTCTCTCCCCTGAGCCACAACAAAGTAATCGTGTTATATATGTTTATTTAGTTTTGTCCTTCTCATTTTTAAAATACTGTTTATTTTCAATAGCAAGTAAACTTATTTCATAATTTTTGCTTTATGCATATGAATGAGCAAAACTGAAAATTAATTATCCAATTCATTTCATCAGTTACAGAAAGGAAAGGAATTTTGATATAATCAGATTCGAAAAAATCATGGAATTTTTTTTTCTGAGTGTTTGAGCCCACCCTATGATTAATAGTTAAATTTAAACTATACTATGCATTACAACAATTTACTTTGTTTTTAGGCTCCGTGTACTTTGCTAGAAGAAATGGAAAATCACCTTACACATTTGGAAGGAAAAAAAAATTCAAACAGTTGCCAAGTAATTACATATTTGTTTGAACGTATAATACTGAATTTGTCTTTTTTTATTATTATATACAATTTGGTGTCAGTCATAAAAAGTCTTTGATATTGTATTAGTCTCTAAACTTCACTTTATAATTGAATATTAGTGAAAATTCATTGAAATTCAATTTTAATTTTAATATTATTATAATTAAATTGCTATACAAAATATATCTTAAATACCTGAAAGTTTTCTTGAAGATATACATATTATTCTATTTTTTTAATATGTATATCCCGATGAATTCTTTTTGTATAGTAAGATTCATGTTAAAATAATGCTTTACTTTGTAATGAAATTTTTTTGAGAAATATGCTAGTGCTTTCAATATATACGTAACTAATAAACGACTAAAAATAACTTACCCATAAATGATCATATTGTACTCTTTAACACCGCTGTATCGGCCTGTCGATACAGGCGTTAAATCGATATGTCGCGATATATCGATTTCTAGCCCAGTCCTAATCATGATTATGTAAAGTTTTTGAAAATGTTTTTGAATTTTATTGATTTTTGATGATTTTGAATTTTTTTCTAGTTTATAAATTAAGAACTTTGAACAATAGAAAAAAATCTTTTTTATTACTGCACAGATGCTAATTATAATTTTTTTCTTTTTTTGGAAAGTGATTAAAAAATTTTTTTTGAGTGCTTAAAAGGTGCTTATTTTTTATTGAAAAATCTGGCTACTGGTCTTATCATTTATGTAGTTTCTCCCCCTGCATCATTTTTTTTTATTATTTATGATTTTAAAAAAATGTACTCTTTAAATTATAAATATTATATTATTAGTTCATAAGCTTTGATTATTTACACAAAGAAAAAATATTACATAGTTTAAGAAATTTCATTAACCTTTTAGGACAAATTCATGGTAGTGTGCAGTGTCTGCTCTGAGCTCTACTAGTTCTGCTTTAGCAAGCAGTGCACATGAAATCTCTCACGAGCTGAATGGCCTGACAGTGGATGAGAGTATGAGGAGGGCTGTTGAAGAAGAAGATGCCATCATGAATCAATTGAAGGTTGTATAATCACTTGTAAAAGTTGCATGAATCTGGCTGCATTTCATGTTTTGAGCATTTGGGAATGCCTATTAATAATCATTAAAATCGTCTCAAAGGACTGCTGACTTATTTATGCATCCTGCATGACTCTTGCTTCACTTCATTGCCAGGATTCTCACTCCACAGAGAAAACCGGGAAAATACAGGGAATTTAAAAATCACCTAAAATAACAGGGAATTTTGTTTCTTATTTTCGTCTTTTAAAAAATGGTGACCACTCTTAAGGATATTTCAACTATACTAAATTGTTTAATTTACTGCAGCATTATTGAAGTATTTTCAGCTGGTTTTTTTTTTGTCAATTTCAACTGTAAGTTCATACTCTCCCTATATCTCGTTCAATTTTTAAATAATTTATAAAATACTTTTTATTTATCCACTCAAGTTCAAATACATTTTTTTACCGATTTTAAAAATAAAATCAGTGATAATTTCTAACTTATAGCTCTATTTGAACAAAAAAATAGTTTATCGAGTACATTTAAATGCTTAATTATTTTATTGCTTTGTTTACCTTGGAGGTCAATTATGCAGAAAAATCAAATATACGGACTTCGGAAAGTCCAGCCGATTCTGGATACGCGACTTTCTACTGTATATGTATGAAGAAAATTAAGTAAAACAATAAGTTTTATTTTTTAATAAGTTTTTTTTACTGTTGTCCTTTTTGTATTTATTTATTATGCTATGGTTTAGTGATCATATTTAATGCACCTTTAATGCTTTCTATTATCTACTATTAATTTACTTTCGTTTTCCTACTTATTCCGTTTATTAATTATTTTTCTAATTTCGTGTGGTTGGGACATTGCGTGTGCTTAGGACTTTGCTCTATGAGCCTATTTTAATGGATTTTAACAGTTATAACAATTTAGCGCCTGGTAAAAAGTATGTTCAATATTTTAAGAAAAATATGTTTGATATTTAAATTATTCTTCATGTTGTACACAATACGAAGAGCCTAATTCAGAGGGGATCTTTGGATCGACATCCTGCTACTATGAAAGCGGAAGCAAAAGATTTTTTGAATTACATTCAATACCCGAAATTTTACCGTCTTATAAAGAGTATGGTGATAAAAGATGCAAAATTTGTCCTAATATGCAACAATATAATATGTCCTAATATTGACCACAAACATACAATTCTTAATAACGATGGCTCCAAATCGTTTTGTGAAACTAAAACTGTTATTTATATGTTAACCTATGGTTTTTATAATATAAAATATGTTGGACAAATCAGTAACTCTCTTAACATTCGAATTAATGAACACCGTTCTGATATAAACAGTAATAAAATTATCAATAACCTGGAATTGAATCATTTTAGAGAACATAATTTCAGCAGTGTCAAAATTAACGTTTTAGATATAGTAGAAGATTTAGATTTAAGACTACAAAAAGAAAATTAATATTTACTTTTATACAAAACAATTTTCCTGTATGGGCTAAACAATACTTTCCAACATACACAGATTAACTTAAATAACTCCTCAACTTATTCACTTTTTCATATTGAAGATAAGCTTACAAATTGAGGTAAACGGGGATCAATAAGTAATAGAAACTCTCTTAATAGTGACAAATTAAATAAAAATTTTGTTTCTAATTTGGAAAAAGATTTTAATAATCATTATAATATTAAACCAATCTAATATTTTGTTTTCTCCGTTAAGAGTAATAATGTATATAAGCTTCAATATCTTATTAAAGTACAGAACTCGTTATCTGGAAATCAGAAAACCGGAAAACCAAAAAGCCGGAACGAAATTCGATCAGTTATCCCGTCATTTTTTAAAAAAAAAAAAAATTTTTTTCCTCATAAGATTTTAGGATTTTTCGCTCTTTTTTAAAAGATGTTTACCTTACTATTTAAATAACAATTCAACAAATTTTTCTAAAGTTGTTCAATCAATTAAGCAACTACCGAAAAAATTTGTAATTACCCCTATAGACAAAGCTAACAATAATTATGTAATCTTCTGTAAAAAATTCTATGTTGAACTTTAAAATACCGAGTTAAAAGATAGTAAAAATTTTCAGCTTAGTAATTTAAATAATAATATTGACATCAAAAAATTTTGGCTTTACATAAGAGGTTAAAAATTAAAATTAGCAATATACGATCTCCTTACTTAATTATCAGTCCTAAATTTCATAAAATTCCTATAAAATTTAGAACAATCGCATGTGGGTCTAACATAATTACCTAACTATACCTGGCACAATTTTCTTTAAATACTTAAATAAAATTATTAACAATATTATTAAAGAAGGTTTTTATTGGATTATCACTAATAATCATACGATTTTAGAATTTATTTAACAGAATAAAATTAATTCTATTGCAACTTTCATTTCCAGGATCTTTTCAATAGCATTCCCCTTTCTAAACTAAAAGATTTCCTTTTGAATTATTACTATCATTTTAAAAATATCCTTAGTTGCGTTTTTTGATTATTTTTATCTTTTTAATAATTATCTTTACAATGGAAAAGATTTTTTTCTTCTAATTGATGGAATACCACTAGGATTAAATTTTCCATTTCTCTTAGCTAACTTATTTTTGCACTATTATGAAAAAAATTATACTCTTAATGTTAAATTTGTTTTTAGATTTATTCATGATTTAATTATCCTTAATTTTCAAGATTGTACTATTTTATTAAATAATATTTACCGTGAGAAATTAATCTTGCTTCATAATCATGAGGATGATATTAATTTTAATTTTTTAGAATTGGGTATTATAAAAGAAGAAAATATCTGTTTTGTTGATTTATACGATAAAAGAAATTATTTTAGTTTTAATATAAATAAACTAATTACTTGGAATTCTAATATTTCTAAAAACATCTATTTAAATACCATTATTAATCAAATGAATAGAATTAAAAGAATTTGTAGTAATGTTTATTTATCCAAGAAACAAATAGACAAATTTTTCAAAATTCGATATAAAATCATTTAGTTAATTGTATATTATTGTAAATAAATTTACTAACAAACTTCTTTGTTAAATTATATAATTTTTACCATGTGCAAATCCATTGCGGGCAAATCCATGGCTAAAATTATTTACAAAACAGACAATTCATGTTTCTTTCTCTTTTCTATTTTATTTTATTTTTTTCTGAATAAAAGTGAATTTTCTAAAACTTCTCAACTTGTCAACTTCTTTAAATTATCCAGTATAATATTACCTTGCGCACATCCATTTTCATGCCCATCCTTGGTAACAAACAAATCAAGCGCACTTCAGTACTGCAGTAAAAAAGCACTATAGAACAAAAACCCTCTATTTATGCATTTACCTCAATTTGCACTTCTGTTTTCATATTTTGTAATCTGGCAATCTTGTTACGAAAATATTTTAAATCATTCTTGAAAAATTACCCGTTTATGTAAGTTCATTCGTTACTCGCTTTATAGATTTCATTTTATGTTTTATTCTGTTTTTTTATTTTAATTTCTGTCTTTACATTATATTTTTACTTAATGTGTTCTATATTATTTGTTGTAAATTTTTGTAATTTTTTTAATTGCTCCTCACACTATTGTATTGATATATTTTGCTTTGGCTATATTGATAAAATAATGGAAAGCACTCTTTTTTTTGAAGATGTAATCGTGTGAGCATTTGAAAAGATTATGTCTTTTATTTTCTGGTATATATTAGGTAATACCCCCCTTTTTTTCGGATTCTTTTCTTCCGGATATATTTGCCAACTGAAAAATATTTTTTTCTTGAAGATGTTAAAGTTTACATAATTTTTGTGTATTAAATGAACATTTGTAGGATACTTTCCAAGTTGAAAAATATTAAATTATAAGAATAAAGAAGAAAAGTAGTATTCACAATAATATT